GATACGCGGCTCGCGTCGCACTCGTGCTCCTTCATCTCGATTCTTGTTATCGTTTAATTATTGGATCCTTTGATTGACGAAGGAATTTAATCGATCCGTATCGCTGGCGAGGAGGCTGGTAGAAGGAGTCACGAATCTGTTTCAGGCTATCGCGATATATTTTCAAATATGATCGATAACGATGATAAACCTCTGGAATCGACGGATGCTTTTAAAGTATTTGAAAATTTCGCGATATCAACGCAGGTTTATCCGATACCTATAAAATACCGCGAAATATAATTTAAGGCGCGTAAACGAAATAAATCGCGCCAGGTGAGATTTAAAATACATGATATATCGCCGAAGTATATCTGTATTTGAAATAATATTATTATATGCACGTAACTCATTTTATATTTCCTTAATAATTCTTTCAGTTATGATATTCCTAATCCACGGATCAATAATATTTCAGAAAAAGCGTTAGAAAAGATAAGGATGGTTTATAGGATTGGTGCTTTTACGATCGCAGGTAACACGCGTTTGAAATGTAGAACCTGATCGCGGCTACCCTACCAACGAGGCATTTTAGGCGTGCGCCAGAAACAAGAAACTCGTTTGCTACACGTCGCCTATATATTATCACTGTCGCTTTTATCGATTCGTTTCGACGACTTCCAGCGTTTCCATCGAGGGAAATCAAGCTACCATCGCCACCAACGTTTACGACCTATCTCTTCCACCAAGATTTATAAAAACCAATAAAATTCGATTACTCCTATCTTACAAATTCTCTCGCATCCGCGAATGAAATTCCCATTGAATGCCACGGACTGCCATTAAAAGCCTGCGCTACCGTGAAGACGTCGATTCCCTGCGGAGAACTCGGTTCATTGTGCAGAATTCAGTTCAGTGTGGAGAGCTCGATTTACCGCCGAGTGTTCAGTTCGGTACAGAGAACTGGCTTTACCGTACAGTAGCCGATTCATCGTAGAGAACTCGGTTCACCGTGGAGAACTTGTTCTACCGTAGAAAATTCAGTTCAGCGTCGAGAGGTCGATTCACTCTGGAAAATTCAGTTCACAGGGAAAAGCCCGGTTCACCAAGGAGAATTCAGTTCGGTGTGAAGAACCGAGAAACTGGAGAACCGAGACTCCCGATACGTTGCTCGCCAGAGATAGATATTCGCGGATGGATCGGGGGAAACGGCGGCAAGATGATCGCGCGCGATCGATACCGCGAGAGCGGACCGATCTTGGAGCCGCCAAGGGAAAATCGATTCCCGTGATCTTCCTATCTAAAATCTGGTATCCCCGTAAGAGTAACGTGCGCTGACTGAGCGTTGCGGCTGCCTTGTTACCGAGCCTCGACCAAGCTACTCTCCGTTACTCTGTGCAGCTTCGTCCTTCTTCTGGACCTTCTTCCGAGGCCTCAGCTCCGCTCCCCGTGTCCCGTCGTCCCGCGCGCCAATTCATTAAGCTGTAATTGAGTTTTCAGCCCGGCGATACGAAGACCGAGATACATCTATGTAGGATGTAAGAAAGAGGAGAGGGAGAGAAAGGAAGTAAAGGGACGAGAAACGTACGGATACCGAACGTGTGATAAAGAGACGAGAAGAGGAAAGGGGGGAAAGGGAACGGGCACATCGCGAATTAAACACGACAACGTGTGACCGATGTCCAGGCCGTGATTAACTAAAGTTTTAACAAGCTCTCTCTAGCCTTCGTTCCCGATGACGACGACCACGGTACCGACCATCGTCGATGCTTACACGCACGCCGTACGGATTAATTCTCCAGCCGTGCTGTAGTTGCGAGAGACTTATTTCTCGATGGTTAATCTACCAGGCAGTTAATGTCACTATACCTGTACTTGGGGAGGAGAGTCATTACGGCGGCCAGGCTTCTTCCTTTTTTCCCCTCTTTTTCCGCTTCTATTTACGCGCTCGTTACCCGCGAATTCGCGAGGCTCCTGCGCACTACTGCGCGCGCTCGATCGGAACGAATACATCAAAATATTAGGAGGGGCAAATACGTATCTGGATGATCCCTACGGTTATGTTGGAAGTTTCGCGCGATTTCAGACCGGCCATGGTTTATGAACCGTGTTCGTAGATTTTTCTTCCTTCGATATTTTTTTCCATTAATAACTCGCATTCCTGGCGTTCCTATCGTATTAAGATTTTCCTGTTTGGTGCAACCGTTCGTTCAACACTACCAAACACCAACGACTAAGATATAGGAATTCTTTCAACGGAATCAAACCGAAAGAACGCGTTTATACGAAGAAAAATAGAATTCCTGCGAAGAATTACGAGTCGATGTGGATGATCGTGATTCGATCACTCTTGTACTTGGAAAAGTCTTATGAAAAATTGTGAATTCGTTCAATTATATCGATAAGATTCCTGTGAAATATTTTGAATTATTCGATTGTCTTTACTTGCTCGAATAGTTGCGGCATTAGCAAAAGGCTCATGTATGTGCATACTGATTAAAGGCTAATCGAACGAAATTTATGGCGTGGAACATGCATCGTGTCCGCATAATACGGATGCCAGAAAGTGAAACTACTCGACAATGATAGAGGGAGATCACATCTGGTGGAAACTCGTTCCCACGTCGCGACGGCTACGCGTGTCTAGGAAGCGCGTGGGCGCGCGTAACCAAGGGAAGCAAAAGCCGGTCGAACAGTTTTCAGATGAAGCCAGCGCCGTTTGTACTCGGCGTGGGTGGCTTGGAAATGTCCTGCAACGATGGATACCGGCTCTGGACGGGACCGTAATTCGAGCCTCTGTCAGGTGCGCCGGCTCGATTACCTTAATTCTCGAAACTCGTTCTCATCTCGATTTACCGGCCATCCGCGACGCGTTGCCCCGTTCCTTGGAAAGACGACCGGGGTATCCCTTTCTTCTGGTTGCGGTGCCACACCACAGATTTGTCCCTGCGACGCGCCTGCTAAGTTTCCAACGATTCGAGGTCATCGATCTTCGAGTTTTTTGGATCTGTATTTTGATCTTCCAGCGAGATCTTTCTCGGTATTCGGGTTCCTTAAAGCATCCTCGCGTTCTCGTTTATCCTTCACCGGTAATGGACTATTGACCCTTTGGTTTAGCTGAGCGTGATAAAACGAAGAAGAATGTAGAACGAACTATTTAGAAAATAATCCTCTTCTGCTTTCTTTATATCGAACGTAAGAAAAACATACGTACGAACACACGTTCAAGTCTTTATAGTAAATAAATATTAACAATCAAAAAGCTTGTTGCAAAGGAGGTAGCTTCACTTTCCAGTAATTTGCGTAAACCAATGAACATCGACTCGAAATTGGTTACAATCAGATTATTTTTACAAACGTGCTGGAAATTCGATGTCGTTTAAAAACGACAGCATGTTTGTCGAGAATCTTTGCTATTGCTGTTAGATCCTTGGTAAATTAATATTTGTTCAATTGTTATGTTCATCGTGGTTAAAAGTCCGTAGTGTTAACTGAGATCGAAAATTTGACATCGATGATAATTATGATTCGAAATCCCTCTGAGTTCAATCTCGGTTCGTATTATCACGAACGTCGCCTCAACTAAATCCAAAAAATTCATGCAGCAGACAAAAGTCGTCGAGAGCGAGGATCGAAGTGAATTTTTGCGGAAGCCGCCGACAATGGCGAACGTGGGCCACGAATAATCCCACGTAGGTTTGGAAAAGCTGCTTAGCTCGAATCAAGGCGGCTCCATTGCACCCACTTTGTCCGCTATTGTGCGCTATGAAATAGAGAAGCATCGAGACGGACGGCTTGATCCTCAGTCGTTATCTTCGATTCCTCGATCGTCGACCGTATTTACAGACAATTCTGTATTTACCAGTTTCTTCTACATCAAGGCGAGACCTGTTGCGTGTTGGCCGAGTTTCATTACCGAGGCCCAAATGAATCCCCGAGACGCGGCACTAATTAATGACGCGGTACGCTTCGTTCTGGCGAACGCGAGAGACCCAACCAAACGGACGATCTCGTTCGTGAGTCATCGTGAACGAGATTTACGTTCTTCAACGACGCTAATAGAATTCTCGAAAATTTCTGCCCAGTCATTTCGATTGGTCCATTCTGATGAATTTCGGTTTCGCGTCGTGTGCCTTCTCGTTGACGTGTAAAAATAATGGAGGAGGAAATCGGATCTCGTTGGTCGTAGGGAGAACCGAACGGTCGAATTTTTGACCATTAGCTTTCTTTTCTTTTTTCTTTCGACTTTTCTGCTAGTAATTGCCAGTTGTTCGACAAAATCATCGTCTCAATATGGTCCGCGAAATAATTTTGGGGTTGTTAAATGTTGACTAACAGGCTTGTGTTAGATATCCGTCCTTGGCATTCGAAGAATCATGATGATTTCAGTCGAAGGACCAAGGCTATCGTAAAAGTGTCGTCCTTCGTTCATCGAAGCTGGTTCCTCCGCTGAAAAGGAACGACCGTCTCACCTTGGACTCGCTTCAGTTTCGAAGTCCAATCGAGCACTCCGTCTAACTGGTAATCATATCGATGCGTGTCAAACATTGAAACTAAATAGGCATTCTTGTTTCGTTGAGTCTTATACCAGAAACGCTGGGCTAGCATCCTACGACAATTATCTTATCACGAAGAAATTATTAAACGCTGTTATTAACAGAATGGTTATAATGAGTAATTCGTGATTTTTTATAAAAATTTTACAGATTCATAACGTATCGTACATCACATTTTTACGATCTTGAAGGTCTTTTTTTTGTAAAACATATAATTTTCCATTTTGTTTTCTTCGGTACAAGTTTTTCGCTTTAATTGTCTATAATTCTAGCGTCAGTGTACCTAATATTCATGACGATAAGAAACAAATCTTGCTGAGAGCGATACACGCGTAGTTATAATTCAAAGTTCAAACGTATTCCTATATAAAACATCTTTTAATCTAATCAACAAACATGCAAGAAGAGTGGCTCGCCTGTCCAAACTTCCAATCTAAATTAACTTTAATTCCAATTTAATTTCAGTTTGGCGAAAACCTGAACGCATACATTGAACTTTCTTGACGGCGTGAAACGAACGTTCTTGTGGCGGTACGAGCATAGACACGTGAGGATTCGTGTGGTATCCTGCCGAAAAAGTGTGTAACTCGATCCGGCAAAAAGGTAATAACCCGCTCATGAATTTTAATTTAAAATTAAAGCGATACCGCGCGGGGGAGGGACCCGCGATATATAGCTCATCCGAGAGTGGTTTTGCAGGTAGCTGATACACAGACACAGTCCTCCTCTTCCTCATCCCTGTTTCACTTTCGCTCTTCCTCTTCTTCTTCGTCTTCTCCTTCCTCTTTATCGTTATCTTCGTCTTCTTCTGCTGTTGCTTTGCCGAAGCTGATTCTCTCGTTCACACGCCTCCTTCATTTTCGAACACCATACAACGAGGCTGGCATTCTGAGGGAAGCCTCTAGAATGTGTCTGACGAAACTGTTACCCTTTACCGGATAATAATAAAAAAAAAAAAAAAAAAA